TGGGCCCAATCACCTTTTGTTTCAATTGCAGCTAGTAAGAACACAGAGGAAGGTAGTGAGGGACATCGTGTTACCTGTGGCAAGAAGGTCCGCTTGGTATGCTCGATCAGAAGCAGTTTTGCAAGCAATGCTTTGCAGTCAATGTACCAATCTCCGAACCGAGGCTGTAGAAGTCATTCTAAAGATTAGAGGAACGCTAATAGATGACGACCAGTTGGGAGACTGTTCGTTTCATTCAAGAAAAGTTCCCCCAATAAACGTCAATGCCACCAAATTGTCAGAATTGGTTGACTTGAGTTTGGAAGTCTTAGAGCCACCATTGACAACAAGTCTAACTAGCCAAGAATTGAGAAACCTTAAAGAGACTCCAATGCAGGTGCCGAAGTGGCCTTCCCACACTCAAAGTGTGGAGAGATGTGTGAAAATGGTCACAGAAGCAGCGGGCCATGTTTACAGCCACGAGAGGCGAGAAGGTTACATCAAAGCACAAATAGCAAGCAGACTACTGATGATAAGAAACCAAAGCAAAGAGAGTATGAAGGCATTGGTTACTTTCAAATAGACTACGGATAATAAAATATAATAATTTGAAACTTGAAACAGTAACATGTGTGCAAACGCTGGTTATGTTATAAATCCATTTGATGTAGGTAGGACTTATTATAAAAAAAAATTTATGCCAGAATATTGTTTTGCATGCTTAAAGACTACAATAAATTGCTACCAAATTACTCGATTTCCAATTTAGCCAGTTCACCCCCTAAATTGACACACCCTACTGTGCATGGCAACTCCTGTCGAGAGTTACTACTACTCTTTATCATCCGTGAATCTATCTAGCCTCCTTTTAAAAATTTCCAGCGTTCCACCGATTACTACAAAGTTGCTAAGCTTGCTCCACTCGTCCACCACCCTATTTGTGAACCAGTTCCTTCCTATCTCCCTCCTAAACCTAAACTTATCCGACTTATATCCGTTGCTGCGAGTCCTATCCTGCTCGGATAAAATAAGAACTTTATCTATATCTTCTTTATAGATTCCGTTCACCCACTTAAATACTTCTATCATATCTCCCCGCATTCTTCGTCTTTCTAGGGAATGCAAGTTTAATTTCTTTAACCTATCTTGTCATGGAATGTTTCTAAGTCCCGGAATCATTTACGTCATTCTGCGCTGCATGAACTCCAGTGAATTGATATTCATTCTATAATAAAGGCACCACAACTGAACCGTATAATCGAGGTGCGGCCTGACAAGCGCAAGAAATAGTTGCAATAAGACCCCTGCACTCTTATTACTTACACTTCTAGATATTAAACCTAATACTCTGTTTGCCTTATTTCGAACATTAACGCTCTGTTTTCTAGGCCGTAGGTCCGGGCTTACAAGTACCCCTAGGTCTCTTTCACAAGTCGACTTCTCTTGGATGATGTTGTTAAGGATGTATACATTGACAGTACTTGTTCGTCCAATATTAAGGAGGCTGCACTTGCTGGTGTTGAATTTCATTTGCCATTTTTCTGACCACTCCTGCAGCTTATTTAAGTCCTCCTGTATTGCATTTACATCCTGCTCTGAATTAATCTGCCTCCCTATTTTGGTGTCATCCGCAAACTTGCTTATGTCACTGCTGATCCCAGTATCTAGATCGTTTATGTAGATTATGAACAAGAGTGGGTCCAGTACTGACCCCTGGGGAGCCCCACTGGTTATACAGCCCCACTCAGATTTTACACCATCTACGCTGACCCTCCGTGTTCTAACGGCGAGCCATGATTTTATCCAATTTAAAACTTTCCCCTCAATACCATGAGCTAGTAACACTCACTTGAAGTTTAAGCTTATCTATTATTTTCCTCATCTATTATATAATGCAGATAACATTCATACTGTTCATGTTAAACATTGGCCACAGTGAATGCATTTCTTATTAGACGTATAAACATTCACAAATCTTTACATTTATATATTTCCTTTAATATTTGTTTACTTTGAATCCATAATATGTTTACTACTGTATTTCGAGTTTCCTATAACCAAATACAGCTCTGCCACACTGCACAATTCCTGACGCACCGCTGTAAAGGCACTAGTGAAGGGGACTGTACATGTACCTGAGTGCTTTTTCAATTGATAGGCTAAGATAAAATGAAATGTTATCGAGAAAGCAAGTGAAGAAGCCATTTAAGACGAGGATGGTAAGTTACTTAGGCATAATAAGTCTTACCATACTGATGTTGGGAGGATCAAGTTCAGTTTTTGACTGGATGTAGAGGCATGTAGGTGAGGGCATTTATACCTCCCTCAGGTGATGGCTGACTGCATGACTATCACCTGGCCAGCCAGTCAAGCCGCAGTTATTACTCTAAGAATCACAACCTGTTTCAGTGAAAAGGTAAACAAAACAAACTGTTAATCGTAGCATCCAGCAGATGGCGTCTATCGGAATGAAGTTTAGCATATCCTAGGAAGTCGATGAGAACCTCTAGAAATTTGAACCTGGTGACTCTTGTTCTGTATAGGTTTTATGAGACTAAACTTTGGATAACTTCATCTGAATTCTTGAACAACTAATTATATGCGCCAAAATCTACCTCCATCGAAAGGAAATTATTTTCAACTTACTCACCTGACCTTTGTGGTTAGGAGAATGACAAGACTAATCCCGGGTATTAGGAACCTTGAGTACAGAGACAGGTTAAAGCATCTTAATTTGCACTCTCTCGAGAGATGTAGAGCGAGGGGCGACATGATGGAGGTGTATAAATGGAAGTCAGGGCTAAACAAAGGGGACACTACAAAGGTACTCAAACTATCTAACCAGAAGCGAACTCATAACAATGGTTTTAAATTTGACAAATTTGGATTTAGGTGTGAAATAGGTAAACATTGGTTTGGAAATAGAGTAGTGGATGAGTGGAAAAAGTTACCAAATATCATCATTAACTCGGATACGCTGGATAGCTTCAAACATTGAGTGGATGCCGATATGAGCAATAGGGGTTGGGTGTAAATGGGACTGCCCAGTATGGGCCAATAGGCCCGCTGCAGTTTCCTCCATTCTTATGTTCTTATGTTCTTATGTTCATCAGCATAACAAGGAGAAACATGAACGAAATACCCAGGAAATGCATTCACCTAAATTCTTGACCGGCGAGGAGTTCTACATGTATAATTTAGTGGATAACAAGCACTAATATTATGGTACTAGACTCACCCTAGCTTGACTCTCCTTCAATCAGTGGTTATGATGGTGTTTAATGGTGAGTGAGGGGCATTGTATGTATGTCAGCTAAGTATCATGTTTATATCAGCTAAGTTTCAAGTTTATATAAGCTAAATATTACATTTATATCAGGTAAGTTTCAAGTTTATGTATCAAGTTTATATCAGCTAAGTATCACGTTGATGTAAGCTAAGTATTAAGTTTCTATCAGCTAACTTTAAGATTATGTCAGGTAAGTTTTAAATTTACATCAGCTAAGTATCAAGTTTATATCAGTTAAATATATAGTTTATAACAGCTAAGCATTAAGTTTAAATCGAGTAATTATTCTACACAGTTTTGAATTTGTGGTGTATTTGCGTTACTAGTCTTAAACTCAAGCGTCAGTAAAGTAACAATGTTAGCTTCGTATCTCTGTGTTCCTTAACCCTGAGACTTCTTCCATGGCGAGTACTGGGTGAGTTAAATCTGAAAACAATTCTTAAAGAAGTTGTATTTTGTTGTTGTTAATATTGAGAGTGTCTGTCTGTATTTAAGTGTTCTTATTGGAAGGTGATTTTAATGTGCATATATTATGTAACCTATTGTATGAAAACTGTATCCGTTATATTTCAATCTTATAGTACCCGGTATATCATATATTTTCATTTATTATTTATTTACAATCTGCAATATTCATAAATGTAGAAAATAACATCTAAGTTCAAGGGAAAATTAAGTTAACATTTCTGTTTTCTGTTTATGTTATTTTTATTTTTATCAAAATAAATATTATCTCGTATGGTAACAACCTAACATTACAGCAATATTTATTGATTTATTTATATTATATTCGCCATAAGTTTGTGATTGTTAATGCATTTAGTTTTTATTTACATGATTCTTCCTTCTATACTATAATGTCCGGGTGTTGGATGATTCACAGTTACCTGAGATGTGAAGTGAAGAATGTAAGTTAAAGAAGAGTTAGTGAATCGGCAACACACCTAGAGCATCACTAGTCCAGCACGTTGTGACTCGCTGCGTGATAACCTGCCACTGCTGACATGGATCACTCCAGGTACATAGTAATTATTATCACTCCAGGCACATATTAATTACTATCACTCCTGGTATATAGTAATTATTATCACTCTAGGTATATAGTAATTATTATCACTCCTGGTAAATAATAATTATTATCACTCCAGGTACATAGTAATTATTGTCACTCCTGGTAAATAATAATTATTATCACTCCAGGTTTGTTATGTCTTGTGGGGAGAATATTGATTTTTACTTCCCAAGACATTAAAAAACATTTTTATAAGCAGATAAAAATACAGATACATCTAGTCTCTTATCCTGGATACAATTTGCGAAGTATTATCCCGCTACATTTACTGATACTATTTAAATATTCCACTGATATTCAGAAAACCCTGATCTCATAGTTAGTGGAAGTAATAGCTGTACTGTATTAGCAAGTAAGTTATTGGAATTTCTACATCAAGTTTTACCAAAAGAATAAGTAAGCGTCTTTTAATAATGTATCATTTTAACATTTATTTGAAAAGGGTAAATTGTAAACTGAGTAATTGAAAAAAAATCTTTGTCGGCATCTTTTTATTCATGTAGAGATAAAATGAAGATGTTTATAGTATATCATAAAATAACTTAAGTAGCACATCACAAAAAACTAAACAACTTCATTTCTTTTACACCTAACTGTAGAAATTGTTAATACAGTAGAGCTATGTGTTTATTATTATAATTCACATGTGTACATTACACTTTATTTACTCTTACACCACACTTGGTAAGTGATGTCAGGAGAGCGATCTTGGGGTAAATCAAAGTTATTTTCACAGTCGTTTAAGTTTTATTATTACAACACAAGAATCACAAGACACAAACTGACGAAGAAGAGTTCAGGAAACTTAGTATTGGTGTATCTCATTTCTTTATGTTTACATTTATTTTCCATAACCTCCACTCCCACCGTCATAGCCGCCGCCACTAGAACCGCCATAACCGCCACCGCTGGAGCCGCCATACCACCACCCGCGCTGGAACCGCCACCGCCGCTGGATCCGCCATACCCACCACCACCGCCGCTACACCACCACCGCCAGACCCACCACCACCGCCGCTGGATCCGCCATACCCACCACCGCCGCCGCTGGAGCTGCCATACCCACCACCGCCGCCGCTGGAGCCGCCATACCTACCACCGCCGCTGGAGCCGCCATACCCACCACCGCCGCCGCTGTAGCTGCCATACCCGCCACCGCCGCCGCTGGAGCCGTCATGTCCGCCTCCGCTACCACCTCCATGGCCACCACCACCGCCACCACCATACCCGCCGCCATCACCTTCGCCACCGCCGCCACCACCATGCCCTTCTTGCTTGGCGAGGCAGGTCACAGCCAGGAGCCCCACCACCATGGTCACAAACAACTGCGTCTGAAATTGTCAGAGATAAACTATTTTTATTAAGGTTATTAATATCAGTTAATATAATGGTACTATAAATAAGTTCTTTTACCACAGAGATGTTAGGTCAGTTACTTTCTGTAAATCAACAAGAAAAGGTTTGCTTCACTGAAACTTCACTAACAATGACAGAGAAGAGTATTATTTATTTGAGTGCAAAAAACACGATATGTATAACATTTGTCTGATATAAAGTTTTCTTTTGTACATAATTTACTACAGTGAAGCTGGAAACCATTAGTTCAAAATATAATTTTCAAATCTGTCTTGAACTTGTGCCTATACCTTCACCTATACCAGCAACTCCTTTACTCGTCATGCTGATGAGCTGAACTGTTATTAATAAGATAAGTGAAGAATGCACTTATAGAAGACGATGATAAATTACTTAAGTCATAATAAGTCTTACCATACCGATGTTGGGAGGATCAAGTTCAGTTGTTGACTGTATGAAGAGAAGTCTAGGTGAGCGCTTTTATACCTCCCTCAGGTGATGGCTGACTGCGTGACTGTTTCCTCATTAATGAGTTAGCTCCACTTACCAATTGAGTAACAAACTTCATATTTGAAAAGATTCAATTTTTTAACTTCTGCTATGTAACAGGCGGCGCCTGATGGAGCATTGTCACTTATGAAAATCTTTGAGTGTTGTGAAAAAGCTGCAGAAATTATCCCATTTGTGAGCTTTCATTGCCAGCCCCTTGGAGAATGACCTTCACGTTGTATCTGGGGATCATAAGGGTAGAGCATTTGAAGGTATTATTTACATCCCTTAAATCCATTTTTAGCTTTGAAAATTCCTTAGAAAAATAAAGGTTATCTTATTTGCGTTAAACACACAAACACCACTGCTATTCTGTTCCCCTGACATTATTAATGGAGCGGATAACAGTAATCCTGTAAATCATAAATGATCATACAAGCATGAAATTTCATATAAACATTAAGAATGGGTTACTTATCAAATCTATCCGATTGAACATTAAAAATTCCAAGATGTAGCCATTTTCCAAGATGGCCGCCAAATTTGCCTAACTGAAAACAATTTGTACATATATCGACTTATTATTGGGCAATCTGTGCACATAAGGTGTCTATTCTAATGTTTTAAAGCATGCTGTTACGAACCCCTCCACCCAGCACTACGAACCACGCCATCTATTGTCCTGATCTACCTACCCAGCACCACGAGCAACGCCATCTAGGGACGAGACACGAGTATGACTCGTCTTAGTTACCACTCCGAGGTTTCCCTTCTCCCTATCCTGGTTGTTGCGTCACCTCCTCAAAGTCTTCTTTGTCAGCTCCAATTCGAGGAAAGAGCACTTGGCTCTGGGAAGTGACCACAGGATCATCTATCCTCTAAACCTACGTGCAGTGACTACCTACCGTCTTCTACAATACTCAGCCTTACTCGTCAGCCATCTCAGCTCCTCACTTAAGTACTTGTATTTTGTATTAACTCCCCCACGTCCACTTGCCTCAAGATTGTTTATGTTGTATTAATATGTATATACTGTTAATGTTTAGGTTAAGTTTGGTTAAGGGTAATTTATAAGCTGAATATTTTGTTAAGGGATTTATGGTACTCTATTATATACAACGAAAACTCGCATCCTTTGTCTACCCTTTTATAGTCCGATTGTCTTTGTTTTTTTTTTATTGTTGTTACCTGTTGGGATCTGGGTAGACGTATAACTATATTCTAAATCCCCAACTCGTAACACATGCTGGAACAGATTATGATTGTTTTGGAACGCTCAGATATGTCTTGTATGCATAAAGTTGCGGTTCAACACATATTTTTACCTCTTTTCATAAAAAGTGTAAGCAATTCTTAGTTAAACAATGAGAAACATGTTTATCTTTTGCTCATATCCTTGTGAGATATTGCTATAAGAATTCTTTTATATTTACAGATGCTGGTATGTGCATGCACACACAGCTGTGCAAGTGAGACCAGAGCTGATACATTTACATCGCTATCCACAGTATTTCTTGCAAGAACACTTGGTCAGTTCTTGACAACTCGCTGCCCCAGTTAGGACGACTTGGAATGTCTGATTGTGCTGCAGTTACCTGACCTCCAAATTATTCCACCTTGATAGGCTGCACGCTTTACATGGTGGACTAACCCTGTCTTACATCACCACCACAAACCTTTCTAAGACACGGAGGTCTTCTTCACTAACTGATGTAAGACACTGACTGAGTTTGATGAAGGTACTGGAGAACTCGTTTAACACATTCCATGTTTGCCATGCAGTCTTCTTACCTTTTCCAAGGAAGGCTGACACAACATCACAACCACCGAATGCATGGAAAAATGTGATTCTAGTGGCTTTTTCAGGCTCTATGTCTACAACTAACTCATGAACAGGAATCCATCTTGTATAAGTCCCTAAGCCCCATGACCATAAGAAATCCACATTTCTTCAAGACCTATGATATCTGTGTCATTGGCTTTTATGAGGACTCTTTTACTGCCTTCCATTACAGCTTGTCTTGCTTATACAAAGAGGCGGGTATCTGCCTCTTCATGGGAGCATGGCATCAAATCTTCTAGAGGCGTATTATGGTTGCTAATGACATAGCAACAACTGACTTGGATGCTCCATGCTGAATTTGTGATTTATTATCTGTGCCATGTTCACTCATAACTGATGAAGGAGCTGCATATTCGATACTTCTATCATCAAGTATGGTTAGGAATTTTGACTTGTGTTTGAGCATATTCTGCCTTATTATTTTCTCAGCCTTGGCCAAATGAACATCTTCACTGTATTTGCCAACCTCAGCCAGGATGGAGCCTACATCCTCTTGGAATGCTAGCAAAACATCTTTTCCTTGACTGTGAGCTCCCAGTTGAGGAATATGTGAAACTAATTGGTTCTTAAGCCTAGTAGAATAAATTTCAGGCGATTCGACACCAAGTTAGTCTGCTAGTCTAAAAATTGTTCCATGAGAACCTTCACATGCAGTTTTTGTCTCATTGATGTGTCGCCAATTCAGAGAAAGCCAGTGAATATTCATCTTTTTGTCATGGTTCTTTGTGTTTTTTTCGTATCCTTTGCACTAAGATAAGCTCTTTCTCTATTGTACAGTGCAGCTCAGCAAGCAGGTTAAAATTTCACCCCTTGTGCCACTACATCTCTTGCACTAAGTTAGCAAGGGATCTTTTGTCACTGAGTCTTTTTGCACATTCATTGACTCTGTCACTGAGTTTCATTGTCATTGTTTGACGGAGAGCACTCTCTGGTGCTGGGTTGTCACACAAAAAGCATTCTGTTGTGTTTTTTTGTGTCTCTTGGCTTTCATAGCACCTTACTTCGGCAACCTTCATCACTGTCAACTACAGAGGTGGTTGCTCTTTTTGGGGCTCTTTGCAACATTATGTTGCTCACCTAAATCTACAGCTCTCATGATATTTGGCAGTATTTTTCCTCATTGTCTCTGCAATACCATCTCCATCATGTAGTGTTTCCATATCAAGCCTTATTGGAAGGGCATTGATTGAGTTAAAAAGAGGAATATTCTTGGCTAATTTGCTGTAGCCATCTTTCTCTCTTCTAGTTGCGTTAGTCCTTGGAGATTTAAGTTCTTCCTTTTTATATCATGACACAGACAGCACATGGCCCAGGATTACTTTTAGGACCAATATTCATCGCCATTGTGGTACAGAGTCGAAGGTTTTTCCTTTTACCACTCTGTATCATGCGTACTTTCCTTCTATGAGATACAACTAGGTTTAATCAATTGATTGCCCTAACTTTAACCCCATTACCCTTGGCTCGGCTCTCCCACGCTGGTACATCCTGTCAATTCGGGTGAGGCTACCTAACCTTATTTGATGCTAATTAGGTAACACACGCACACACACACACACATATATATATATATATATATATATATATATATATATATATATATATATATATATATATATATATATATATATATATATATATATATATATATATATATATATATAAATTAATCTTTAATATAAGTTTCGTACTTAGTTGACACTGAGCCCCATTTTGAGTTTCACAGCAGTGTTGTCACCAGTGTGCCCTGGTGGTACATTGACATTTACTCTTCATAAGCATGTTTCATTTGAATGCTCTCCATTTCAGAGTTTTCAACACAAAATTCAGGTTCTACGTACTCAAAAACACGGAAATCAACACTAAAATCACCTGAATTGAGGAACACAATAAACTTTAAGTCCAAAAGGAAAATCTGACATCCACTTTTGGTGGCCATCTTGGAATTTTCATTGTCGAATCAGGGAGATTTGATAATTAACCCATGTTGAATCCTCATGCCAATTTTCAACAATTTGCCGCTCCTCTACCAGGTATCGTTGCCTCTGATGTAACTACTACTCGTATTACCTTTCACTCATTTATTATAATGAACTGTGAGTAACTAACAACTATTAAAAACTTGAAAATTGCGCCCTCGACTACTAACTGCAGTAACAAAGGACATAGAGATGAATTTTTTATCATTACTACATTGATATTAGGTTTTGAGGTAATTAATATAAGTATAATCCTAGTTTAACGATAGGAGCTATTTAATCCTCACTTACATAGGATGTACTGTACAGTAAATGAAAGAAAACGTTTATCATAGTTATCCACATATCCATTATCATGAGTGAGATCTGATTAAGGAAAGGAACTTAACCTTAAATATTGTACACACCAATCAATAATTCAGGGATGAAGAAATGGTTCAGGGTGGGTGAATTATATCTTGAGTTCACTGCGACTCTCCAGGTTACAGGATTTATATCAATATTAAGCAGGTCCCACCTTCAGGAAGTTCTGGGTTGAGGCAGATAAATAACATCAGTATTGTCCTTTTTTTCGGGGGTTAGAATGGAGACTTAACTCATACATATCTATCATATTTAATTTCAGAAATGTAAATGGTGCCACCATATAAAATATATCATTGGACACTGAGGATGGAGTTTTCATTATTATTTGTCAGGAAAGGGGGAGTGTAAGAACTATTGTGTATTTTATAGATGGAAAATATAGCAAGATATAATTAATACGGAGTAATATACAGTATAAGTAATAGAAACAGACCTGTTATTGAACTAAATTTTAGAAATTTATTGGAAAGAATATATATATATATATATATATATATATATATATATATATATATATATATATATATATATATATATATATATATATATATATATATATATATACCACAAGGAAAGAAGAAAACACGAAGTTCCCAAGCGCTTTCGTGTAATTCACATCTTCAGGGGTGAGTACAGACTAGAGAGAGTAATACAAATCAAGGTGTATATATACAGAGGAGGGTGAGACCAGGTCCACAATGGTCAGGTATTAGGTAATGACCCTACTAATCTTTAAATAGCACACAACGGTTGGTGGTCAGGTCAGATGGTCAAGTGACCCGGCCTTCTCACCTGATCACAAATCTTCTTAATTACAAAATTGTCCAGCTTGTACATGCCGTTACTCAAATTCATGTTGAATGCTTCGGTATGTTTAATAAGACTAGATTC